TCTTTCCCTGCTCTACTCTGCCCCCTGTCGTAGGAGGAATGGACGAAGAAAGCGGAGCTGTTCAGCCTGGAGAAGAGAAGACTCAGGGGGACAGGACCGCTGGCTTCATTGCTCTGAAGGACTGCCCCAGGCAGAGGGAGCAGTTGTGTTCTCAGTGACCGCAAGGGTCAGAACAACAAGCAGGGGCTTTGGAATCACACAGACCTGGGTTTGAATCCCGGCTCTGCCATTTCTTAGCTGTGTGGCCTTGGGCAATCACTTGACCTGTCTGGGCCTCAGATTTCTCTTCTGTTAATGGGGGAGAAGGGGTTTTGGAGGATTAAATAAAAGAATATAGGTACCACCCCTGACCTATAGTAAGTGCTAAAAATGTCAGCCTCCTTCTTATCCCCCCTCATCAGTTGGTTAGAATTGCAGAGAGGCAGGTTTCAGTGTATGAGAGGAAGCACCTTCTCAAGCGTAAAGCCTTCCTGCAGTGGAAGGGAGGAAGCAAGTTCCATTCACGCAAGTGTGCAAGCAAGGGCTGGGTGGGGATTTGGCCACTGGCTGAGGAGTTAAGTTCAATAACCTTCATGATTGTTTTGAGCCTTGAGATTCCATCTTTCCCTGGACAAGTGGGGCTGCATGTTTACGATGGGCCTCCTCCCACCCCTCTGTGACCACAGAGAGTAAGAGGCCCAGGCTCTGTCCTCAGGACCCCATGGCTCTGTGCCCTGGGTGCAGGAGGAGCTCCCTGGGAGCTGAGCTGGTCAGGGGAGGCTTTTTGGAGGATGGGCCTGAGCTGGACAGGATTTAGAAAGGCAAGAGGGGCACACTACAGGCAGGCTGACAGTGACAGCCTCAAACTCTGGTGCCAGAGCCCATGTTTACATGCCTGGTGCTCTGTGATTGGTATTTAGCAGGTACTATATATAATGTGCTTCAATTCACCCACATATAAGAAAGTTGAAGGGTATGTATTAATGCCCCATTTTGCAGATAAGAAACCTGAGTCTGAGAGGTAAAATGACTTGCTCAAAACCACACAGTTTAAACAGTAAAGCAAAGATTCAAACCCAGGTCTTACTGTCCCCAGTGCCGCCTCCACAAAGGTGACCTTATGCTTTTAGGGAAGGGCCTAAGGAAGGCCCGGGATGGCAGAGAAGGAAGCATGATAGCTCAAGGCAAAACCTCCTTACCAGGCGGCCCAGCAAAAAGGAACAAGGTGGGGAGGACTCTTCAACTTCACAATGCCAGGCCCTGCCATCCTGTCACTAGCAAACCTTCCCCCACCCCCGCTATCTCCTGAGCCTCTGGGTGCCTGAAATGCCCCATCTGCTTCCCTGTCTGTTACCTCCCTGTCCCAGACTGTGAAAGTCAAAACAAACTCTCCCAAGGTCTGATTGTCAGTGGGAAACCTTTCCTGTTTCCTCACCCAGACAAGTGGAAACAGCAGGCCTTGGGGGCCAGGAGAGGAAGACAGCAATTGGCCTGGATACAAAGTGAGCAGGTGGATGCTGAAAGCTGGGCTGAGGCCACACCACAGTGGGACCCGCCCCAGGCCCAGAGTCTGAGCAGAGAGTTGGCGTAGGGTTAAAGGGCTTTTTAGAGTCTAGAATTTCAGAGTAGAAGGGACCTCAGGGGTCTCCATTCCTCCCCCCGTCCCAGGAAGGAAGTCCCCCTGCAGCCTCCCTGATGGTCTCTAGCCCCTGACTGCACACACCCCCTCCCCACCCCCAGACAGGTGGTTCACTTGCCATTCTGGGCATGGCTCTACCCAGAGAGGGTTCTTCACACTAAGCTAAGCCTGTCCTATCTCTTGGAACTCGCCCACCACTGCCACCTCTGCCCGGGACACACAGAGCCCAGCCACTCTCAGGCCTGGCACGCCCTTCAAAGAGCAAGAGGCACAACCATGACCCTCAGGCAAGCTCTTGATTCCAGGCCCAAGATCTCAGACCTTTCAATCATGCTTTATAGGCAACAGCGTGGGGACCTGCCCTCAGCCCCATTACCTCTCCAACTTGTGTTTGGGGGTTTGTGCAGCGGCAAGACTGGACCACCAGGACCTGTCCCCATCTCATGCTTGTGATGTGGCCTGGGCCTTTGGAGCAAGTCTCTCCCGCATTCTGGTCCTTGGCATATGGACCGGGGGGCCTGAAGACAGTGCTGGGCATTCCCAGCTTCCTGGACCTCAGTCCCAGGACCCGTGCTGTCTCTTCCTCTCAGTGGGATCCCACTTGGATTCCCACAAGCAAGGCCGGTTCTTGGTTTTCTTGAGGGCAGTGCTGGCCTAGCAGAGGTCTTGCTGTCACATCTGTTCTTTCTGGCCACAGACCCCGGTGGTAACAGCCGGCACAACATCAGAGGCCATGTGCTTAGGGCCTCAGCGCCATGTGTGGTGCCTGTGCTCCCCAGGGGATGCAAACATCAAGAGATACAGCTAGTACCTCATTCCCCCTCAGGGCCTCACCTACATAGGGTACACATATATTTGCTTATCCATCCATCCATCCATCCATGGATTCATTCATTCATTCATTCAGCATGCCTAATGTGGGCCAGGTGCAGGGAACCCAAGAGGAACACCCTCCCCGAGTTCCCAGTCTGGTAAGGGAGGCAAGAGCAGACACAATGATAGCACATTAGAAATAGGAACAATCATAAACAGAAGCCAAGAGCTGTGGGTAACCCAAGGAGGAAATTATAACTATTTGGGGGAAGAGGGAGAATCGAGGGAGACTTCCCAGGTGAGGCTGGGAGGATGAGTAGGAGTTCACCTGTGGCAACAGGAGAAGGTGTTTCAGCAGAGGGGGCAGCATATGTAAAGGCTTGGCCCCCTCAGGGACCTCAGGTAGCTGATTAGGACTGTAGCACAGGCAGGGCCACTCAGAGGGATGGGGTAAACTGAGCCTTGAGCTGAAAGGGAGACTACAACCCTGATACCTGTAGTGCTTGGGTGTCTGAAGCAAATCACCTATTGATTTTTATCATATGTTCTATGTCCAGATAAAAGCTAGACCAGGCCCTATAGGCCTGGCAGCTTTTCTTCCTTCTTTCCTCCCTCCCTCCTGCCTTCCCCCTCTCTGCATTGTGGACAGGTGAGTGGTGTGAGAGCAGGAAGGTGATGGTGACAGGAGCAGGGTCACGGAAGGGGAATGACGGGGTAACATGCATATTTTCCAATGACTGCAGCCAGGATCATAGGTTAGAGGCGGGGTTAAAGGGGTCAGAAGTCTAGTGCAGTGACCCAGGCAAGGCATGATGGGGCCTGAATGGGAAGGGTGACAGTGGGGATGGGAGAACAGATTCAAAATATTTAGGGAATTTAGTCCACAGGATTTGGTGGCTGGTCAGAAAGGGGGAGGGGAGGGAGGTGACAGGGTCTCTCCCAGGTCTAAGTCACCCTGTTTCACTGACCACACACCCTGCCTTTCCTGCTCACGCCCTTGTCTCTGCCCTCAGGAATCTTCCACTTGATTCAGATCAAGAAAGTCAGGAAGCAAGACTTCCAGAAAGAGGCACAGAACTTCCGGTTGCTCACTGGCACCCACAAAGGTGGGACCCTGGGCTGAGGACTGGGGCCTGGGAAGAGAGCCGGGATAGAAGCTGGGGCCTCCTGGGGAGTTCCAGGCTGCTGGTGCTGGGAGGAGGGCGGCTGTCAGCCACAGACGTCAGTTCCCGGCACAGGAATCCAGTGGGCGTCTGGGCCAGAGATTTCCTAACTCAGACGCCCAGGAGCTTGGGAGCGGGAAGGTAAAGCAGAGCCAGCTGGATTTGGTCTTGGGGGTGAGGGAGACGGAGCTGTCAGAGGTGGGGCTCTGAGCCCCTAAGTCCTGGTGCTGCTTCGTGTCTCTCCACTGGAACCTTTCCCACTGAAACCTTCTAACCACGTTCCTTCTGATGCCCTTAAGTTGCTCTACACTCCCCCGAGGAAGATGGACCCAGGTGGGTCTTCAGGTGGGGGAAAGGAAGTCACAGACGGGAGGGTCACCAACAAGAGTCAGGATACCAGCCCGGCCCACACATGTTGGTTGTCTGAGGCGGGGTCATGTGTCAGAACCCTCTGGGATTTGGGGTGTGATGGGGTCCCCAACCTCCCTCCTCCCTGTGGGCTCCAAACCCAGGCTACTCAGTCCTTGTTGTCCTAAGTTTGCCCCACCCCAGTCACCCTGTCTCTGTTGTGCACATGCATGCACACGCACACACCACACACACACAACACACACACACACACACCTGCACATACACATACAGGACACACCCCTACACACACACGTGACTCTTCCTCTCTTTTCCATGCAGGTCACTGGAACGTCTTCCTAGCCCAGACCCCGGAGCTGAAGGTCACGGCCAGCCCAGACAAAGTGACCAAGACCTTGTAACAAAGACCTGAACAGCTGCAGATGTGAGCTTTATTATTTTTGTTGTTATATATTAATAAATAAGAAGTTGCATTACCCCTCAACCCTGCCTGCTGAGTCCATATCCAGTCTCCACGTGTTCTCACAGTGACTGCAGACAGGCAGAGACTGGCCCGCATCCTCACGGTGAGTTGTTATGAGAGCCAGGGCTAGTTCCCCTAGCCTTCTGACCCAGACCCTTGTCTGCCATCGTGGCCTCTCCCCTGCTCTGTGCTGCTTCTGTGCCCAGCCCCCAACTACAGCGCCTCCTGCTTTTGTGGGCCATCCCCCTCCCATAGCTCTTTGGCAGTGAGCCTAGGAAGGGGGACTGACTGGAGTTAGCCAGCGGAGCGGGGTGCATGGAGCCTCAAAGTGCTTTCCCAGCAGATATTCCAGGGGTCCTTACAATTGTCAGCTACACTTTACAATGAGGTCGCTGAGTTTAGGGAGGAGCAGTAATTTGCCTGAAGCCACAGAGCAGGGTGGTAGCAGATTTGGAATTGGATGCCCGGTCTCTTGCTCCAAGCTAGCACTCATCCCTGTTCCACCGTGACCAATGTTATAAACCCAAACATTCTCACCTCAGAGGATTTCCAAGACTTGGCAGTCAGATTGCCAACCCTGGCACCACGGTCTGGGAAGAAAGCCTAACAGTTACAATTAAAGACAACATCAGTAATCTATCCTGCCCACGTGTACAATTCCTTGCCATTTCAAAGATGTTTTAATGCCCGTGATTCTACTTAAGGTGAACTAGTATAGGAATTACCCCTATTTTGGAGAGGAGAGAACAGAGGTTCAGGATCGGCCACTGTCTTCCCCAAAGCCTCACAGTGATGAGTGGTGAAGCCAGACCAGAATTCAGACCTACTGACTCCTAGACCTGTGCTCTCATTCCACGGCCCACTCCCACCCCAAACCTGATTGGAAGCCGTGAAGAGACAGTGTCAAGTGGCCTTTTGGTTGGATTCTGCCACTTGCAGCCACTTAGAGGGCTCTGCTCCGAGCCCTGGTCTTGTACCTGGGCGTCTGAGGTCTGGGAAGTCGTCTAAGCAGCCTCCCAATGCTGCCCTTACTGAGCAGGGACCCTCCCCAAACTCCCTCTGCCAGCTCCCAGGGGGCCTGGATTGAGAGTCTGGGGTTTGAGGAACATGGTTGGAACCTCCCCCTCATCCTCTGAGTCAAAGGACATCCAGCTCCTCACAGCCTCTGCCTGGCCCTCCTGGAGAAGACTCGCCATTCTGGCCTTGTTTGCTCACCACGTGGGGTTAACTTGGAAGTCCAGGCATGGCTTCTGAGCCTCCTGAATTTAAAGCATAGGAGCCAGCTATTCACACCATGAACTGGTCATCCTTCAACCTAGCTCAGATGTCTCCTGCTCAGTGGGGCTTTTCCTGCCACGCCACCCCCACCCCTGCTCCTGCACAGGGGCCCCTCCCCTCGGCTGGAGAATGGGGTTGAAGGCAAGGCTCTGTAATCAGAGGCATCTCCGGACCCTCAGGACAGGAATGACTTCCCTGTATACTTTTCCTGGTGTTGCAGGCCAACTGCCTTCCTGGTTTCTCTGATGGACTTATCCGAAGCCTGTGATGTTCACCCCAGATCTTTCCCACCATGGGAGCATGTTCAGCCCATCAGCACCTCCGGACTTTGGTCCAGACTTTTCTGAGTGTGTCGACATAAGGCTTGCCTTGGGAATCTCTAAGCAGCTCTCCCAGGGCTCTACATCACTCTGAGCTGTCTTCTCCTTCCCTGTATTCATTCATAAAACACTTTCTGATCTACACTGGCCTAGGCCTTGTGCTAGATGACTGACACAGTGTAAGGAACCAATACGGCCCTGCCTGTCCCTAGGGAGTCAAAATCTTGAGCAGGAGATGAGGCCTCACAACACCATGAGTACAAGGGCTGTGACAGCAGGGCTGTGGGGACCACAGCCCCTGCCCAGATGGAGGACACTTCAGCTAGCTCTGAGGAATGAACAGGAGTTAGAAGAAAAGGTGGAGGCAGGGAGAGGCGGGTGGGACAGTGGTACAGGAAGAGACAGCTTCATGGAAGATGAAAAACAGCATCTTACAAGGAGAACCACAAACAGCTCACTGTTGCTGGATAATAAAATGTGAGGCAAAGAGCAGAGGGAGGTGAGGCTGAATGCCCGGCCGAGAAGCTTTGGCATCATCCTGAGGGCAGCAGAGAGCCCCGGAAGGGTTTCAGTGCTTTGGTCAGATTTGTGGTTTAGAAAGCTGGCCCTGCCTGCTGGGTGAAACACGGTGTGGAGGAGAGAGGTGGAGACCAGGTAGGGGGCTGCTGTGGGATCCGTGGAAGGGATGACAATGCCTGGGCAGGAGAGAGGCGACGGGGGTGGGAGAGAAGGCAGAGCTGAGGAACAGCGGGGAGTCGGGCTGCAGCTGGTGCCTCACGTGGTGACTGAGGGGAGAACCCAGGAGTTTCAGCTGAGCTGTGTCTCAGGAGAGAACCCCAGCCCTTTGGGTATATTATGGTCTGGAGAGGAGGCTGGGCCAGAGACAAGGATTTGGGAGCTGTTGGCCTGCAGGTGGTAACTAACTCCAGGAGATGGGAGACATTGGCCTGTAGAGTGAAAAGAGAAGGGTCATTAGGACAGAGCCCCGGGGCATCAGCAAAGGAACTGCATGGAGGCAAGAAAGAAGCCAGGAGAGTGCACAGCTGAGAGTCCAATAGGTGAAACCTGGAAAGGGGGCTTCTGGTGACCGTGGCCATGGGCACTGTGAGGGGAGCTGGGAGGCAGGAGCAGGTTGTGCAGGGCTGAGGCAGTGTCTGGGAGGTGAGGAAACAGACAAGCCTTTGAAGAACTTGGGTGGTAAAGGAGAGGAGAGAGGCAGGACAGTGGCTGGCAGTGAACATGAGCTGGAAGAAGGGGGTTTTTCAGGCGGGAGAGATTTAAGCAAGTCTTGCTGATGAGGAGACCTCACAGGAGAGGGAAAAGTAGAAGAAATAGGAGTGAGGATGGAGGAAGGGAAGATTTAGGGACAAGTTAAAATCCATTCTTCCCCAGCCACTAACTCGCTGCATAACCCTGGCTGGTCTCCCCATGAGTGGGACGGGGGAGAGGGATGCGGTGGTCTCCGGGGGCTGCCAGCTCTATCCCTGATGGGGCTCCCTGAGACCGCAGCAGGGAGTCCTGTGGGATCCACTGTCTTGGTGGCCAGGCTGGGCTCTGCATGAAGTAGGGACATCCCCTCCCACAGGCACGGTCAAGTCCGTTGTCTCGTCTAATCCCCGGAGCAACCCAGTGAGGTGGGGCATGTCAACCATATTATGGAGATGAGGAAACTAAGGCTCAGGGAGAGGAAGTGACCTAATTAAGATCACACATTAGTAAATGGAAGGCTTGGATTCCAGCTGAGGTCTGGGATTCTGCACCCTGATGGAGCCCAGAGCACAGGAGGGGCCAGGTCCTGGGCTGGAGCAGGTGCAGCCTCTGCTCAACTCAACCTTCCCAGGTAGCTTCCTGGCCCCTAAACTTGATCATCCTATTATGAGGCCACACCTGGCCTCCAGATTTCCTGGAGAGGCTCCCTCCTCCTCCCCCTCCCCTCCCCCCCCTCCTCCTCCTTTTCCTCCTCCTCCAGCAGCTGTGAAGCCACCTCCCCCTGTCCCCCAACAAACCCTGGACTCTGGGAAATGGCAGTATTTCTGAGAAACAGGACATTGCCTGTGGTTTGGGACTGGCCTGGGGGTGAGGGAAGAACTGGGGTAGGCACAATGGCATCTCTCTCCAGGGCAGGTCCGGCCACCCTCCTTCCCTTCAGCCTGGTCCCTGGAGACACCCACTGCCTGCCTTCTTCACCCGCAGGGTCAGTTCATGGAAGATGAACAGGAAGCGCCTTAGGAGGCTGGCTGAAGTTGGGAGGGGTTGGGGTGGTGTGGGTTTCTGTGCACAGGGCTTATCTCAGACCTTCTATAATGGGAGTTAGGACCTGGATCTCTGGTCCCCAGCTCAAGGCTGTTTTTTTTTTTTTTTTTTTTTTTTTTTTTTTTTTTTGGTTGGGTGGGGGGAGTGCAGAGTAAAATGTTTACAGGCCAGGAGACCAGTTAAGAAGGTGCTGCAATCATCCATTGGCAATAGAGACACAGAAAAGGGAGAAGACAAAGAAAACCATCCTTCCACGCTCAGTCAATCATGATCCCTTGTCCCTAACTCCCAATAGTTCTAGTTCTAAGTAACTCAATTTACAGAGACCAGCAGTGGCCCAGAACCAAGCAGAAGTCTTTAGAATCACACAGAAGTCTTACGCAAACTAAGTGAAACACTGATTTCATTTTTAGTTATTTATTTATGGCTGTGTTGGGTCTTCATTTCTGTGCATGGGCTTTCTCTAGTTGTGGCAAGTGGGGGTCACTCTTCATCGCGGTGCGCAGGCCTCTCACTATCGCGGCCTCTGTTGTTGCGGAGCACAGGCTCCAGACGCGCAGGCTCAGTAATTGTGGCTCACGGGCCCAGTTGCTCCATGGCATGTGGGGTTTTCCCAGACCAGGGCTCGAACCTGTGTTGTCTGCATTGGCAGGCAGATTCTCAACCACTGCGCCACCAGGGAAGCCCTCAAGGCTGTTTGAATGACCACATGACACCTAATGTCTCTCCCCACCTTATCCATCCCTGGCACAAAACAGAGCCCACATAACTTGCCCAAAGTCAAACAGCAATGAAGAGTTGGAGCTGTGACTGGAACCTGCAGGGTCTGGCCCCAAAGTCTGCCCTCTCCCTCTGCCCCATGATGTCCGGGCTGAGGATAAGATCTGTCTTCTCGCCAGCTCCCCTGCCACCAGCCTCTCCTCTCCACGCTTTCCCCTTCCTAGCAAGTCTTGCCTATCAAACCAGAATGATCTTTTAAAAACGCAAATCTTACCCTGCCTCCCCTCCATTAAGCCCCTCCTTCAATGGCTTCCCTCTGCCCTCAGAAGAGCGTTGAAACTTCCTCTCCCGGCCCTTCAGGATCTGACTCCTGCTGGCTCTTCAGCCCTAATTCCCCCACTTTTTCTCCCAGCTGCATCCCAGGGTCCGGTTTGCTGCCCCACCTGATCA